GGCTCTTGCCCCTTGGTTCTCAGATTTGCTGCTGTTCAGACACAGACCTCCCTGTGTGCTCTCCCTTTAAATTCATCTTGGCATCTAATACCAGGCAGAGAGCAGAGCACACAAAACTGTCCCAGCCCCTGGGTGTCCCAGAGAATTAATATACAGGGTGACCCTGCAAGCATCCCTGTTTGCACCTGACCTAAGAAGCCCACTGGGACAGACCATGACCCGCTGCAGGTGGGGCTGCTTAACATCACAGGAGAGCCCACCTGCACATGGGCCTTTGCACACAGCTCTCATGCATCACCCCCAAGAGGGACAGAGGTAAGATGCAGTCCTACCTATCAATACCTTCTCCTTCCCCTTTGCCTTTTTTGGAGGGGCAGGGATTCTGTGGCAGAAGAGGGATAGAGGACAATTATCTGTTGAGCCCTGCTCTGCTCAAATAGAGAGAGGGGAGGGGGCGTGTCCCCCAGCCCCTTAGAAGGAAGATGGCCTGTGAACAGTCTCCATCCATCCTGAAAGGGCCAACCTCTCACCAGGGCCTGAGTGGTGAGCCTGGGTTTCTTGAACCAGAGAAGAGGTAATTTTTACAACAACTCTCTGAGATTGAGGTTAATATTCTCATTTTTAGAATGGGGAAACTGAGGCTCATGTCCAAATCTGTAACGATCCTCAGGACACACATGGTGAACCTCAACTTTGAGCACAACATTGACGGAAGAGAAGCTGACTGCCCACCTGCCGGGTAACTTAGCCCTAGTCCAGAAGCCAGTTAGCTACAATCTTAAGTCATGTCTGAGGATACTTTTGTTCTGAGAGGTGAAATTTTAACAAAAGAAACTAGTTTTTAAAATCAAAAAAAAATGCTGGGTAAGGAAAGAGGAGAAAATAGCAGAGGAGTTTCCCACTGTATCCAGCCTTTGACAGTTTAATGCATAAGACGATGTGAATCCTGTAGATAAGGCTTTTGAAGGCTTCAGGTCTGGATCTCTGTTTCCTGGGTGGAGGAGACCTGTGAGTAGGAAGTTCTGAACAGCCCTTAAACCAGCGTTCAGGTGATCTGTAAGGCCCTCATTTGAAGGCATTTGGGGTTTTATAACTAGACGTTCTGTCATGATGGAGCTTCCCATAGCTTGTTTACTTGACCTGAGCACCATTGTAAGAGGGCCCCAGTTCCTGGGAGCAGAGGGGCGTCAGCACTGTCCTCCACATCCCTCCAGGATACCTCAGCCCAGAACTGCTTTGACTCAGGGGTGACAGAGCTCCCAGTGGGAGCTCCATGCATGGGGCCTTTCCAGAGGGAGAAAGAACACTTCTTCAGGACACAGGGCTGGAGTCTCACAGCCGTGGCCATCTCCAGGAAGGTCTCTCTCTGAGTTCTAAACCTAGCCCAGTGGTCTCCCAGTAAGCCCTAGGCCTGCAGCATCACCTGGGAATTCAGCGGAAACACAAATCCTTGGGCCCCACCCAGCAATGTGTGACCTACCTAGGCCTTCAGGTGATTGCAGTGTGCTGGAGTTTAATAAGTGCCACCCTGCATGATCTGTGTTCCTGGGCCCAGGAGATTATCTGTCTGCCCTAGAAATTGACCACAGATGATCAAACCAGGAGGTGTTATTCCCTTTAGCAAGTGCAGAGCAAGAATTGTGTGAAAGGGCGTACCATTTTAATAGACGAATTTTAGCCCTCAAGACCTATCACCCCAATGGAAAAATAAGCAGGTGGCTCATGTTTCGGAAAGGATCATGCAGCACCTCCTGAGAGAAATAGATGACAGTGGGCCCCTGGACTTACCTGTGAATAACCTGGACTCTAGGAACAGAGGCCAGGGCTAGCTTCTTGCAGGCCAAGTGTGCCCAAGTGTCACAAGGCAGCAGCGCACTCCGGCAGTCCCGCAGATATCAAGGCCTTGCTGGGCTCCTAACTGATGGTGACCTCATCCCCGAAAAAAAGGAAATCAATTCCAAACATTGCATGTACTTAAACTTTAGATCCCATGAGGTCTATCCCAGTGCCAGTTGGGGCCTTGCTACTGAGCAAGCGTGTACATGTTCTTTATATTATGTTTTAGGAGCGATGGTGAGAATCACAGTGAGGGGAGACGATTGCCCCCCTGACCTGCCTCTGCTTGTCTGGAGCAACATCCCGAGGACACCTAATGCTGGTCTGGCTGTGCAGGAGCTTTATAAGCACTCACTTAAGCTACTGCCCTTCCTCACTATCACTTTTCTCTTTCCCACCAAGATCCTTCTTTCAGGGGACTCTTTGGAGGGAAAGCGGTTTGCTCATCTAGGAAAATGTGTGCTCTCCTGCTAAAGGCCCTTCCTCCCAGTGAGTCCCTTGTCGCGCTGCTCCCTGAAGCACCTCCCACGCCTGTCCTTCCTGCATTCAGGTGAATTCTTGGTCTGGCAGATTTCAAATGCAAACTGTGCCTCCTAGCCATGATCTCTTAGCCAGACAACAGGTAGCCTTTTGAAATTCTAGCGTGGATTCTCCCCTCACATTTCCTTTCCCCAAAGGTAGTGTTTCTGGTGTTCTTTTAGCTTCTCTATTCTGAACGTTTCCAAATTCTCACAAAGCCAGCATACTTTGGGGAGAGGCCTTACTTTGTCCAGAAGGCCTCGCCAGGCTGAGGACAGTCAGGGGAGATATCCAGCCAGCCTGGAGCTGGGAGGCAGGAGGTGGGGGACTGTTCCTGGCCCTGCCAGTCACTTGCTATGTGGCCCCAGATTTGTCAGGTGTCATCGCTGGGCTTGGGGGAAGCTGTCTAGAACAAGTGGGTTGTTAACTTAGAGCATCTAGAAAACTTTTATCAAGAAACCCTGACTAAGGTATCGGATGCTACCTGCTCAAGTCAGAGACCCACTATTGCTGGGCAGGAGTGTGATTAAAAAATAATAAAAAGCCAGTGAGAGAGAAGTCTAGAGCTGAGAGTGCCTGGGAGATGGGGAAGCCACGTGGGGACAGGTCAGGGTGACACGAAAGCGGCCAAGGTACAGGGGCTGGCTCTATGGGTGTTAGCCCTGTGGCAGCACTAGAAACAGGCTGGGGACTGGGACGTTGGGCTCTGGGACACGAGGAGACACGAAGATGGGCAGCACACATGTGGCCACGCAGACGTGGCCCCAGGGCATTTGCTGAGCATGCTGGCTGAGCAAAATTTCAGATCTTGGCTGCCTTGTATTCTTAGCGCCTGTAATTTTACATTAAGCATCTTCATAGCAATCAGCCAGCAGTCCAGATCGTGAACTTAGCCAGCTCCTGCCACATGATCCAAGTTCAAGGTACCCTGTGGCAGCCTCCAGGTCGCATTGGTGGTCTGCCCTGGCAAGGTGTGACAGTCAATGCCAGTTACCATCGGGTCTCCATGTGTCACTAAATCACCCGTACGTCCACTCTCTCCTTTTGCTCATTGCCTGGCCTCTAGCTGCTAAAGCCCCCGATCTTGCCCTTTACCTGTTTTTATACTAACTTTGAACACGTTTGAGCTTCTTTTTTTTTTTAAATGCTGCCCTTTTTCAGTTTTCATAATGGTCATTTTGGGACCACATTTGCTCTGCACTTAGCATATCTTCAAGTCTTCACTGAAATATATTCAGTGATGCTATCAATTTTGTACACACGATAGTAATTTCTCATTAATTCTTTCCCAAAGAAACAAAAGGATCCAAGGGTGAGACTTCAGGACCGTTGACTATGAAGAACACTCACTTGCTCTTCGTGTAGCATTCCGCGGTGCCAGGGTTCTCCAAGTGTGGTCCCGGCCAGCAACAGCAGCATCACCTGGGAACTTCATAGAAATACAGATTCTCAGGCCCACCCAGCCCTGCTGGATCAGAAACTCTAGGGATGGATCCCGCATCAGTGTTTTCACAGCCCTCCTGGTGAGGCGGATGCACGTTTATGTTGAAGAAGCACTGCCTTTATGAAGCAGAGGGTTCAGTTGGTGAGCCATGGGGCCAAGCCTTTGCCTCCAGGAGGTCTGCTGTTCAGCCGGCTCTGCCCCGTGCCCTGCCCCGGTTGGAGTGGGGTGTAAGGAGGGAGGAAAGAGCACAATCACCTTGGCCTGGGTTATCTGGCTGTAGAACCCTCCACAGTTGAGGCACCAGTACCTAGTGCAGGGTACAGGGCAGTGGGGAAGACCCAGTTCTTGTTCTGGAATTCTTCACTTTAGGGGAGAAATGTGGAGAGGCATTTTAGCAATTTAGCTTGCAAATAATTAAACACACCAGTGTTTACCATAACATAAACTTAGGTATGTTATTTTGCAGACCACAAAAGTCTCGTGCATTTTTTTTTCTTAAGGAAAAACAGGAGTTCACAACCTTTTCCCACTTTTTATGAACTGATGTGGGCTGTGCTGCCTGGAGCCACCCAGGGTCAGGGCGACCCTCCTCTGCCCTCAGACAGGCCTCGTTGAAAAAATCTGAGCAGCAGGGTATCTTCTTGGGCTAAATCCCCCTAACTGAGAACTAGGGTGCTCATTCCCAGCCATGCCTGAGTGAGCTCTGGGCTTCCCGACCTCAGCAGAAAAGTCACTGTGGTCTCTGCTGTGTCTTCTGAGACTGTTGGCTGTTCCAACTGAGATAGAACCAAGGACCCACGCAGCTCCAGGGGGATCATGGATTGTGTGAAATTATGGCCACAACAGAAGTGTGGGAGCCGGCTTCCCTCCCTCCCCTCAGCCCCGCCTCAGGCAGCTCTGGAAGGGACCGGCTCAGGCCTCAGTGTGAGTTCTGGGCACTTGGGCCTTCGCAGGCCTCTCCTCCATAACAAATACTAAAACCTGTATTTGATGACTCTGGGTGTAAAGACAAATATAATACTAGTTGGACCGTATTCTTTTTTCTCTTCTGATTTTAAAATAAATTAAAACATTTGCTTGGGCCTCTGGAGGTATCATGGGCCCCCATGCGCCAGCCTGCTGGGCCTCATGGAGAAGTCAGCCCTGCAGGGTGTGTCTCTGAGTCCTATACCCAGAATAACCCAGCGCTCTGCTTATTTAGAAAATCGGCTGTGATGGAATCATTGGGTCTGCGGCCAAAGAAGACCGGTGTGGGGTCTGCAGCGGGGACGGCAAGACCTGCCGCGTGGTGAAGGGTGACTTCAGCCACTCTCGGGGCACAGGTGAGCTCAGGGCCCGAGGAAAGGTGGCCTGGGCCACGCCTGGTGGACGGGTGAGTGTGGGCCCCAAGGTGTTGCTGCAGCTACTGGGCCTCCTACAAGTGTGGTATATTTTATTGCCCCAAAGCCAATCTTATTGTATATTATGTTACCCAAAAGCCAACGATCACATGCCTTCCCTGCATCTCACGTTTAAGGAGTAATTAATAGTAGATAGGGCACCCAGCACCACAGTCTTAGGATTTCTGAAAGGCAGAGAAGGACATTTTAGCCAGAATGACATCTTTAGGTTCCTAGACATGAACAGTCTGCCTGTGGCCCTCCGGGTTCGGCCCCGAGGTCCATTCTCACACAGTAGCGGCCCTGTCCCACCAGCCCCGCCCCTCAGCATGTGCCAGCCCCTCGTCTGTCCGGCACACAGAGGCGGTGATGAAGACACTTTGCCACATCATTTTTACCTATGGATGGAAGAGGTTTTCTCTGTTTCTGAGTTTTCTGTCAGTAAGAGTAGAATAGCGTTTACACAGATCCCTAAAACGTGCGTGAAGCCTCATGTTCCGGGACGTCTGCGATGCATCCACCGGCTGAGGCTGCAGAGTCGCTGCATCTCCTGTGTCCCAGATGCAGACCTTCTCCAACTCTGGGCGTGGAGAGGTCGGCGGGGTTCAGCTGATGGACCTCACAGTCTTTCCACTGGAACCATCCTCACAGCTGTGGGCTGCTTCGCCCAGAGGTGGGAGAGCATTTCTGATTTCCCGTCCTGGTGGCCACCAGCTTATGATGTACAGGGAAGTACCTGCTTGATACTCAATGAGGGGAGCGTGAGGCGGGCAAGTCACCCGGAGGGCGAGTGTCCCCTCACCCGACGTCACCAAGAGTGACATCACCAAGATAACTTCTTGAGTGGAGCTGAGCTGAAAAGCTTCTGTTCTAATTCCCACAACTGCTTTGAAGAGAAGTGTTTCAGTCCAGTTCCACCCAACAAGGGGATAGAATCACAGTTGTTCCTCCCTGTCCCACAGAGTGGGCCTCTAGGAAAGGCAGAGAGGAGAAGCCTGTGCACGTCCCCCTTTTCTCTATTTGGACAGAAGACCTGGTCTGGAGGAAACTTCCTTCTAGATACTTTGGAAAGGGCGGCCTGTTGCACAGATGCTTTGCAGGATCCTGTGAAAGCAAAACTAGGGGCAAATGCAAATACAAAATGACATTAAAAATTACACTTCGGGCCCCGTAAGGGCTGGTTTCAGGACTTAAAGATAGGTGCCCAGGCTGTGGAACAGGAAGCTTGAGTGAGAACCTGTGCCTGCTGCCCGGCTCCCGAGGAAAGCTAAAGGAGCTGACGTTGGAACAAGTCGGTGTGGGGGAGGTGCCCTCCAATGCTGCACCATGCAGGACAGTAGCCACAGGCCACTGGCATTGATTCAAATTTTAAATATAATTAGTTAAAATTAAACAAACTTAAAACTTCAGCCACCAGTCCCGCTAGCCATATTTCAAGTGCCCCGTTGCCACATGTGACTGGGGGTCCCATGTTGGATGATGCAGAGAGAGAACTCTTCCTTACAGCAAGTTCTCGTGGACAGCACTGCTCTGAACCTTTGGTAACGTCTGCTCTTTGTTTTGTCTGATGCTACTTTCTCTGTATGGACCCTAACTCCAGTTTGCCATGAGACTGACCTTGCCTGCTGCAACTGTGCAGCAAGGACAGTTATTAGGACCGAGACCTCAGCAGCTGGCAAGTGTTTACTATTGATTTTTTTTAAAAAGCAGCATTAGAACCTTTTATGTAAACTGAATGCTGTGCTGAGCTCTAATAAACTGGACTGACTACAATTGCTCCATTCTGTGGAAGGCAGGTCAAGCACAGCCATGCCCACTTCTGCCCCCTGGGCAATTCTGTAGAGCATTAAGGAAGGTTCCACCATACACCTGTGTAAACTTCCACTGTATGCCACATAGCAGACAACTTCAAGAGAACCCAGATCAGGGCAAAAGCATTCCCCCAGTGTCTAATCCATTTGTTGGCCTTTGATATTGGCATGAACACATCCATTCCTCCGATCACAGCGATGTCCTTTTCCTCTGCTCTCTCCCTTCTCCATCCCACCCTATTCCTGGCCCCAACCATACACAGAAGGGAGATGGGCGTGAATGTGCAGGCTTCCTCCTGGGGAGATCAGGCCTCTGGGGCTGTGGCAGCCATTCCCCCATAGAATGGCAGATGCTGGAATCCTCCAGGGGGAGGTCCCCACCCTGACATGCAGCTTAGTGTTCCTTCACAAAAGCCTTAGCAAACCTTCAGAGAAAGATAAGCTCAGTTAGCTTCACCCACCTATAAAAGTTCTGTCCTTCTGAAGAGTTGCCAAATGTCACACCTTCATTTTGAAGTCTAAAGCTGTTTTCTCCAAATCCTTGTGGTTGGGGTCTGTGAGCATAAGTTCATGTCATTGTGGATGCTGTTTATTGAAGATGTCCGTGGAATGCTCACTCACACGTGAATGAATCACTAGCTAACAAATTTCATCAAACACTAGCCTGTAACCCAGGTCTGGCATTCTGGAAGGCATGTACGAGAGATACTGCTCGTGCTCACCCAGGTGGCCATTCACCCAGTAAACATTCATTCAGCACTGCTGTATTTTCAGAGCAAGGTGTTGCAGAAATAAAAGTTAACTGTCACTGAGTTGGTCACAGTCAAGGGAGGTGCTCAGCGGGTGTGCTGTGGGTCCCCAAGTTCTGGTGGGGCTCCTCGCCCAGCCCTATGGGCAGATGACAATGGCCCCCAAGCCCTAAAGGACAAGTAGGAATTAACTGGCAGTGGGGGTGGGAGAAGGACATTTCAGGCTGAAGGAAAAACCCAGCTTAGAAACGGTATAAAGCGCCCGGGTCATGTAATATCTAGGTGACTCCAAGTGCAGCCGGATGGATTCAGAATCCTGTCAGTTTAGATAGGAAGGTAACTTTCATCTCTGCCCAGCTCGAAAGACTGGGAAGAGGAGGAATGCCTTATCACCCTGAGGGTGAATATCAAAGAAAATACCATACCAGAAAGATAAAGAGGAATCAAATGCAGGATTTGTGCCCAATTATATATGTGCCCTGACCCTTGCCTGAACTCTTCTGGGTCCTTAACCCAAGTACTTGAGCTGAGGACCCAGAGCAGACCCACACAGGGACAGTGTCCACGCCCCCAGGGTGTCCTTGAGAGGTCCCAGTGTAGCATCCTGAGTGAGGTTGTTTATTGCCCTCTGGCCTGTTGCCTCCCAACTTTGAACAGATGAGGTCCTGGGCCACTCATCTCTAGGAGGAATCAACCTGAATTGGCTATCATATTACTTTGCTGATGGATGGGCTTCAAAATGCCCAAGCCTTTGGCTGAGTTGAAATAGCTGAACTTTTTAAAATTTAGTAACTTGAAAGTTCTTGATAGGATGCTTTTGTTTCATTAAGATGTCATTTTCACATTATTTCATGCTGCTCTTTGACACTAGAAAGGTGACTGGTGTCCATGGACACTCAGTCCAGAACATACCTGGACTGAAGACCCCACCGAGAACTGTTGGCCATGATGCCCCATGGGCTCTGAATCCCTTTGCACTTTTTTCTCAAAGAGACCCTTCTCAAACAATCAATTCTTAAAAGGGAGAGTGACGTGATCTATCCCAATTGAATAGGGACAGATGCACATGTCACACGTTTGTTCAATAATTAGCTTTAGAACCTCTGCCTTGTGCCAAGTTCTGTGCTCCAGTCTTTAGGTATGGGGTGTGGAGGTTCCATGGGGAAATTTACCACTGTCTGATGGTGACACAGGACTCTTCTCTGCACTGACTACAGACTACAGTATCAGTTCCTGCAATGTGCATGTAAACCAATTACAATGTATTTCTTTTTCTTAGTCAAGAATAACCTTTGTACCAAGGTGTCCACGTGTGTGATGGCAAAGGCTGTTCCCAGGTGTTTCTCATGTAAGATGTTTGGCTATTCTGTGCAGAACTAGTGGTGACATGCCTGGTGTGGGGCTTTTACCTCACTTACGTGCCTGAATGTTTGCTGAGTAGAGTCAGTGGGAGTGAGTCATGCATGAAGCCACGGATAAACACTGAGGCCATTTATCGCTCATGTGTAATTGATGTTTAAGACTGATTACCAAAAAGAAAAAATATAGAATAAAACCAACTTTAAGGCTGCGAAAGATAAAGAGTCATGGGATTAGGGGCCATACAGAAACACATGTTAGTGTGCCAGGGATACATCTTCATTCTCCTCAGCCCCACCTGGCACTTCGGCAGAAAATGCTAAGATATGCCAGAGAATTTAGCCACAGATGATGCTTTCTTCCATAAGGAAGTTTCCATATTACAGGGTTGGGCTTCCCAAAGGGCAGAGAGCACTTGGTAAGACCCTCCTGGTCTTTGTGCTAGAGATAAAAACCATGGCCTTGCTTTGGCCCACCTGTGCTGACCTCACATTCTGAGAACTGAACCAGAATATTAGTCTAGACTCCTGGGCTTCCCAAATCCTTTTCCACTGAAATCAGAACAACCTTTAGGGATAAACATAAAGAAGTAATACTCTCATAAACAACTTTCGTAAAAAGAGAAAACTAGAAACTTATACAAATCCTCCAACAAGCATTTTTAAAGATTATTACCAGAAAAAAAAAAGAACTTTGATTTTTTTTTTTTGTATGTGTTTGATACAACCTTTTGAAAGTGGCCCAGTCCTCATAGCCAGGATGTTACCTGTGTTCCATCATGGTACCTTACCAGCTCAATGGTTTTCTTCCAAGGAAAGTTATTGCTGCTGAACCTGAAACAAGGGAAAAATATGATCTAAATCATCTACTTGTGAAATTCAGACAAAAAGTATTTTGCAGGGAAATATAGCCTGATGATATTAATTTTTCAGAACATTTGAGGCAGGTTTAAGGTCAACATTACTTTGAAGTTCCTTCTGACTACTTGTCCTTATGGCAAAAATTACGTATTCTCCTAGAATAATGGCAACAGTATTGAATTTTATCCTTGGCTTCCTCATGACCCCAAATCGTGTCCCTCTAACTGGATTTCTCCTGCTTGATGGCAGAGACTAGAATGGAAAATCATTCCAAAGTTAGTCTTGCTATCTTACCTAAAGTATGACTCTATCTTGTGAATTCTTAGAGTAAAGCCCCCCTTTAATTATATTTCATGCCCAGTCAACATGGTGATGTCTGGCATCTGCATAGGGGGACATCTGGTATGAGGGATGACAAGGTGCTTTGGGACTTGGTGATAGGGCTCTTTCCCTTGCTGGTCACTCTTCACAACAACCTCAGAGTGGGCTCTGAGCTCTGGGTAGGGTAGGGGCCATCAGAAAGAGGACAGTGAGTGACAGATGGTTTCTTTGGCTTGAGGACAGAGGCCCCGCATTTCATTTCAGGGATATTCTCTTTCATTACTTCCCTCCATATCTTGAGCAGAGAGGCTCATCTTAGAAAGAAAGGTTAGCAGAGCCCAGGCACAACAATGACCTGACCCATTGTTCAGGGTTCACCTGAGGATGTGCCGCACCTGAGTTGTGTGTCTACCCTGAGCTCTTTACTGTTCATCTGCCTCTGCCCCAGAGGGTATATGAGAAAGGAGAGGAAACAGGTACATTTTCAGTGTTGCTACTTGTGCCAAATTTAAGCTTAAAAATAGGCATGGTGAGCGTGCACTAGTTGCAGATGCCGCTTGCTGTGGAATGTGGAAAATTAACTAATTTGGACCCTGGCGATTATGTCTGTTGCCTTAGATTCTGCAGCCTGGTGACGCTAACACCAAGGTTTGTTAGTCACAAAATAGGAAAAGTCCTTGTAACAGCAGTAGCTCTCAGAGAATAATTCAGCTCCCCAAGCAGATCCTGTTCCCAGGTCAGTTTTGTGCTTTAAGTGGAGATTCCTCCAAAAAAGGTTTTAATCACCACTGAACTCAGACAATTTTGTCTTTGTTTTTGGTAATTCACAATCCTGTATGCCTGGAATCCAATAATTCTTCAAACTCCCCCAGAAGAAATGGATTTCTCTAAGAGAAATTTATGGTACAAAATCCAGTGCTGTGATTCTCAAAGATGTTTTTTTGTGGCCACCCTTTTTAAGTAGAGAAGCATTCCTGGAGCAAAAACTATTTTTAATCAAAAAACCTTGCCTCACACTATAAGGACAGTGGAGGGACTGTGTGGGCACGTTAGTGCTGCTGCTTCCTCTAAGTCAGAGGTGGTTGGAAGGGATCCCCTGGAGGAACACACTCCCATCTGGTTCAAGAAGTCGTCCTGCTTGGGAATCAGGATGGATCAGGGCACAAGAAGTAAACAACTCAAACCGGACTATGTTGCCACCTGTGAAGTCTTCAAGTAGAACATTTATTTGTAAGTGTCCGAGGCTGGATCTGTAGTAACAACACCAAAACATTTGCTATCAAGACTAAAGGACCCCGCTAAACTTTCCATGCAGAATGGCTGGTTGAACACAGGTGTTTATCTCCTTGGCTTCTCAAGATCACTTTAAAATGAATGAACAGGAACTTTTTTTTTTTCCATTATCAAAGACCATTTAATTTTTAATTGAGATATGGTTGACATACAACATTATATTGGCTTCATATGTACAACATAATGATTTTATATTTGTATGTATTGTGAAATAATCACCCCAGTAAGTCTAGTTAACATCTTTCACCATACATAGTTACAGAATTCTTTGCTTGGCATGAGAACTTTTAAGATTTACTCTCTTAGCAACTTTCAAATATGCAACACTATTATTAACCACAGTTACCATGATGTACATTACATCCCATGAGTTATTTATTTTATAACTAAGTTTATACCTTTTGACTCCTTTCACCCATTTTGCCCACCCCCACCCCCTGAAACAGGAACTTTTTAAAAGATCTACGGAGAACAAGGACACCTCAAGTGGATGTTCATATGTGTTTGAATCAGAATAAATAGACTTGGTTTTGCTGTGGTAAACAAGCAAACAAACAAAACACAATGTAAATACCCCCCAAATCAGTGGCTTAACACAAAAGTTCATTTCTTGCTCACGCTGCATGTCCAGCATGGGTTGGCAGTAGGCTCTGCATACCGTAACCACTCGTGGACCTGGGCTGACAGAGATTTTATTGTCCACACACTGCCACAGTCACCTTGGCAGGAAAGAGGGAACACGGCAAATCAGGTGCTGGTGCTCTTAAAGCTTCTATGTACACATCACTTTCACCCACATTTTCAGGGTCAAAGTAAGTTACATGGTCACACAATTTTAAGAGGGCAAGGAAATGCATTCCTACCATGATTCCAGAGAGAGACCTGGAAATATTTGGTGGCCAGCATCATGACACATCACCTATAGCAAACTTTTCTGCATTCTGGTGTTTCGGTTGCCAACACATAAAACACTCCCTGCCACCTAACTGAAAGCCACTCCTGACCACCAGCAAACACCGCCCATATACAATAGTCCCTCCTTATCCCTGGGGGATAACTTCCAATATCCCCAGTGGATGACTGAAAGCATAGATAGTACGGAGCCCTATATATACTATGCTCTTTTCCTACAAATACATACCTGTGATAAAGTTTAATTTATAAATTAAGCACAGTAAGAGATTAACAATAACTAATAATAAAATAGAACAATTATAACAATATACTGTAATAAAATGTATGTAAATGTGGTCTTTCTCTCTCTCAAAATATCTTATGGTACAAATTTAATGCCTTTTCCATCTTAACTAGGCACTTATCACGCACCATGGCCATAACTTGTGCGGTTTGAGGTGCAACAGCAAAACTAGCACAAGTTTCTTTTTCCTTCTTCACAATTTTATAAATGGGAGATGCGTTCTTACCATAGATCTTAGCAACCTCAGCATATAACTTTTTTTTCCTTTCTTTATTAAGTCTAGAACTTTCACCTTTTCACTTAAAGAAGCACTTTACAGCTTCTCTTTGGCACATCCGAGTTGCCAGCATCATTCCTCTGGCGCTTTGGGGCTGTTATTAAGTAAAATAGGGTCACTTGAACACAAGCCCTGTGATACCACAACAGTCAGTCTGATAGCTGAGATGGCTACTAAGTGACTAACAGGCAGGATATGGTTGACAAAGGGATGATTCATGTTCTGGGCAGGACGGAGTGGGACTGTGTGAGATTTCATCACATTAGTAAAATGGCAGGCAATTTTAAACTTATGAATTGTTTATTTCTGGAATTTTCCATTTAATATTTTTGGACTGTAGTTAACTACAGGTAACTAAATCCACAGAAAGCTAAACTGCAGATAAGGGGGCTACTGTATATAGAGACAACCCATCTGTGGCATCCTTCTTGAAAGAGTCTGCAACACAAATGGGAAAGACCAAGATAACTGAAAAGATGACCCATGGGAAAAGCAGGATAACTCAAATAATAGAAGTTCAAAATCTCTATTAACTATTCTTAGATTTGAGAAGTGAGTTTATGCATAAAACCAATACAGAATGTCATGAGAAGAAGCAATCAGAAAACAAAAAGGAGATCTCAAATATTAAAACTATGACTATCATATTAAAACCTTGTAATAAAAGGCACCATAAACAAATGACAAATGACAGAAAAAAATGTGTGCAACAAGTCTAGTGAGTAAAGAGTTTGAGTCTAAAATGTATTAAATACATATTAATAGATATTAACATATATTTCCAAGACTCCTGCTTATCAATTAAATCAAAACAAAAAGCCAGTAGAAAAATGGGCAACACTTATGAGTAAGACAGTTAACTGAAGAGTGAATGCGAACGACCAATAAATATGTGCTAAGATGCATGGCCATATTGATAATGAGGGAAAAACAAATTATATTTATGATGTAACAATTTTTCACGTCTTGAACTAGCAAATATCCAGAGGATTGATAATATCAAGTATTAAGAAGCCTGTGAATAAACATGTATTCTCCTG